GCCAGCTCTGGTCATAAAATGGCCCTTACCATCTTCTGGAGCTTAGCTGACTCCAACCAGAAGGCTCTGGACTCCACCTGCCCAAGGTCCGGGGAGTATTGCCGATTGAGGACCTGGAGGCTGCCAGAGTAAAACTGCAGGATGGCCGGTCCCAGGTGCCACGGTCTGTAGTCTGCCAACAGAAGACACTTCTGGGTTACCTTGCTGATATGTAGGAGAGAGGGATTTACCCCTATGTGTGAGTCTGTAAAGATCACCGAGAGTCAATAACACATTTTGGGCTCGGCATTGCCTTGGCTGCACCCCATCCAGCTCCTGCATGGGGACAAAACATATTGAATTTTTACCTAGGAAATACCAGGTTGCTGCAGCAGCTCCAGCCAGCAAAAGAAAGGCTATCCCAAGGGGCATGTAGCGGAGGCAGTCACGTGAGTTAGTCTCTGATTCATCCTTTGAGAAGGAGTTGGCATCTTCCTCCTGTTCCTCGGCCTCCATCAGGGGCACCTAGTGATACAGCACACCATGGTCAGGCTGGGTTTTCTGTATCCCTTTACATCTGTCTCTGGAGGTGCTCTGCCATCTCTGTGCTCCTCTCCTAAGATCTATAGCCTCAAGAGATCTGTGTGCTAACCATCAAAGACTTTGCTCAGTGCAAATGTGAGTAAAACTCCTAACTCGGTGGGAGACAGGCTTCCAGGGCACTGTCCTGTCTATGTCTCCTGGGTAATCACTCAATTTTTAAAAGCATTCTCTGGGTTTTGCTTCTGCCAAAACCACAAATGAGTACAATAACTAATTTCTCCAGAGACAAAAGTGTTGTCCTCCCAGGCTGGGAATGGTTTTAAAACTGGTATTGTATTGACCTAGAAATCAATGCAAAAGACAATCTGTGACCTCAGACACACACAGAAGTTGCATTAACCAGCCCAGCCTGGGAGTCTGAGGTTGCACTTTGCCTGCTGTGCCATTTTGCTCTTGGTCCCTGAAAGTAAGCAAGCCTTGCCGTTCCCACCAGACCATGTGTCCCAGGGCTAAGCCCCTGCTGGCACTGACTCACTAGCTGAGCTAGTGAGGAGAGAGCACCTGAACGATGTCCAGCCCTCCACCACCCTCCTCTTGTGCCAGGGGACACCTTCTGGCTTCCTTTGCCCCTTGTCTACCCCAGGCTGCTTCTTTTGCTTTGTCCTGACCAGCACCTCTTCTGTCAGCCCCAGACTCTGAGGGTAAGAAATGCCATTGCCCAGGGGAGCCATGTTAATCTTGGTTATCTATCTCACCCGCCTTCCTTCTCCTTTCCTCTGCCATCCCTCAGTGCACAGCTGCCCCCAAAAAGCTTTCTGTGCTTCTGGGGCTGGAGAGGAAAGGGACGTGAACGCATCCGCATGGGAGAGCACAGAGGTCTTGGGGAATGCCTGTGCCACATCTACGTGTCTGTGAGTCATCTTTACACGTGGTGCGTGTGACTGTGCGGGCATGAATGCACAGGAGGGACTTGTGGCAGATGTGGGAAGAGATGTTTTGCCTCATGCCCATTTTAGCCCATGTGGATACCCTGGAGTATTCACATGATAGGGGTGAGTGGTCTTCTCGGTCTCCTTGCTTTCCCCCAGTTACTGAGCCCTGAGCCCTCCAGGGTGCCTTGCAACAGAGAAACATGCCTGCAGAACATAAGGACCAGGCAACTCACTCTGAAACTTTAAACCTGGCTTGCTGAACATCGACACTTGGACAATCAGCTGCACATCTGCTTGCTGAAATGCACCCTTCCAGAGAAGCATGCGGTACAAACAGACCCAGCACAGGCTGCCCTCCCTTGCTTCTCGTGAGCCACCTTTCTGTGCAACCCCTGGGGAGGCTCTCCTCCCCAATGAACCAGGTTGGGTAGTCCAGGAGAACAAGGACGCTTCTCTGCTATCACAGCATCCCTCCAGAAACAGCAGGCACAAGCAAAGAACCGCAGACGGAGGAGTGAGGGGGAGAAGGGAAGGAAGCAGCAGAAGAGCCTCTTTGTTAGAAGATTTGATGGTAGGCACTGGGGTTTCCCCCAGAGCTGCAGACCTACCTTTGAAACCTGTGAGGCCTGGCCCACACCCCCTCAGCAAGCCAGCTCACACATGCATAGAGGAGGGGAGAGACGAGGACATCTATTTACCCAAGCTCAAGGTCTCCTCAGCGATCAATAACCTGATACCATTGTCCCTTCAGCTCGGCCTTTGTCCTGCACTGTCGTGCCGCGGTGGGTCAGCACACCCTGTGCAGTGGCTTTTTTCTTTTCTGTAATGGAGGTTTCAGAGGCTTGCAGGGGTAGAAGATCCACAGGCTGGGCAGGGGGAGCCTGGAAGAAGTCAGGGTGGGAGCACCTCCAGCTGTGCCGAGAAAAAGAATCCAGGAGGCTGGTGCAGATGGATTACATTGTCCTCCCTGGGGGACAAGAAGTTGCTGAGCAACTGATGTATTTCTTAGCTACACTCCTTGGTCCCATTGGAGGGAGAGGCAAAACGCAGGGTGTGTGCTCCCCAGCACGGAGATGGAGCAGGTGCAGGTGTAGATCGCTTGAAGGAGGGAAGGCAGCAGTAGACAGCAGGTCCAGTTACCACAGTGGTCATGCAGGTGAAAGCAAAGCACAGCGTCTCTCAGTCCCCACCTGCAAGACTCCTTTTGGTCTTCTTGTGCTTCTTGCTGCCCAGCCTCCTGACGCTGGGCTCCCCACACTCCGTTGCACCGCAACTCGCTCCTCCCTGCAGCATCTGCTTTTCTTCTAGCTCCAGGTCCTCCTCACCAACCCTGCCTGCACCACCTTCTGCTTACAGCCCCACAGCTCTGTACGTGCCCCTTTGTTTTTCACAAAAAGCAACTACACTCCAGCGAGACTAGAGTAAATAGAGTTATTCTGTCAATAAATGGGGGGTGGGAGGGCTGGGGACATGGGTGACTCTTGACCTGGGGCTGAGCTCCAGCCAGTGGCATTGACCTGGAGCTGAGCTCATTTGGGCCAGGGCTCATTTGGGTTCATTTTGGCAGCTGGGCAGGGATAGCTGTTTTCAGCTCTACCACTGGTTCAGGGTTAGTTTGGGACTGAATGAAGACCAAAAGCCATTGCTTCGTGGTGGATTCTAGTAGATAAATGTTATATTGTGGATGAAAAGCTGCAGTGTTTGGGAATGTGTCAGTGTGGTTCTCCCAATTAACTCATTGCTGTACATCTGGGAAACAGAGGCATGCCACGACAATAAGAAATGCTTTCAGGACTTCTTGAGAGATTTAAGAGACCAGATTTCACTTTTACAAGTTACTTTCAGCCCAAATTCCCCCAGAGAACAGGGGTCTAGCTGCATCTTTAGGCATACATGTATATGGCTTTCCCAAGCTTATGCCATGAGGGCTTGCCACAGCGGGTCAGAACCCAGCTGAGTGTATTTCCCGACACCTGCCAGAGACCTTACTTTTTCTACCCATCTTTCCTGGAAAGAAGCATCCTTCTTCACTGGTGTTTTCAGCAGAACAAAAAATATAGAATCTCAATCTGATCTATCTAAGCAAGCATACCACATCTATCACCGCAGACTTTTGAATCAACCAAGGACCCAAAACCTTGATCAGATTTGACTTCAGAGGAATTCCTTTGCTGCAAGTACCCTTTACTTTCCGCTTCTCCACAGTAAAAAAAAAGGAAGGGATGTGGGAGGAAGCTGACAGTGATATTGCCTATTTACGAACAATCTTGGAAAGAGGGAGGTGAGAGATGCAACAGATATCTTTGCCGTCTCCAGGCTTAAGATAAAGAGAAGACTCATGTCTGTGGCTGCGGGCCCAATATTTTCCACACAGCTTTGGCGTTCTGCTTTGGTTTGCCTCTGATACTGATGGACACCGCTGTAGCATGTTTCTGTGGTTTTGCGAACCACAGGCTGTGCATTCACATCGGCTTGAGAGGGGACCACTCCCCGTGTGACATTTCCAAAGAAGTCTTGGGGACCCAGCAGAGAAAGGGCCCTGCATCACTGGGAGTGTTATGCCTTTGGTATTCACAACCTGGGTTACTCACAGAGGAGACCACATGATCTTGTCTTCCTGGAAGAAAAGTCCGGTTATCACCAGATCTGATGTCAAGCGCTTCCTGCCACAGTGTGTCACACATTCACGCCCAGCATGGCTGTGAATGCAGCGCTAACAGCTTTGCCAGCTCAAAAGCTGTCAGCATTTTCACAAAGTGTGTGTGGGGGGGTGTCGGGAGGCAGGGGGAAATACCGAGCCATCAGGATGGTCCTCAGGGGCTGGCAGCAGGATCATTTCCAACTTTGCTTTCTGTTTTAGGTGGCTGAGTCCCTTGGGGAAGGGAGTAGGAAGGAGGACTAAAGGTATTTTGGTCTGAGCAAAGCTTTGCTTAGTCCCCTATTTTGAAAAGCTGTTAATCCTTTTGCCCCACCCCAAAGGACAGAAAAACACTGTAGAATTCTCAATATTTCTTTTATTTACAAAGAGACACAATTTTCTTTTTGGACTCATCTTAGCAGCTAGGATAATTGAGAAGCTTGTGAAGATCTAGACTGGGACAGGACCATCAGTACAACTAGGATCCTTGGCCATGTAATATAGCAAATTGTCCACCGGGGCAAGGGATTCAGTATCTCTTTTTGAAGTCTGTCTGGGAAGGTTCTCAAAGTACAGGAAACAGCTGGGCGAGCCTTGTGCTTCCGTATCTGGGAAGCTGTGGGGTCTTCTTCACCTGCTGTCTCCTGGAGACAACGGAGCAGTCCACATCTTGATGCAGGTGGTGAAGAAGCTGATGAGAGGAGAGGTATATCTCCCCCAGCCTCTCAGCTGTGGGCAGGCTCAAGTCCTTTGAGCAGCTCTTCTGAGGTGAAATCCAAGCCAGGGGGTGACCCCGTAGCTGGGACTCACAATAACATTCAGGCTGCGCAATGCAAGGTCAGGTAACAGCGTGGGACCAGGACAAAAGGGAAGCTCGACGCTTGTGCAGACAGAGGTAGGGAAGAATTAGTTCTGGGTGATACTCACAGGGGTGACAGAAGTACCGACAAGTTCAATGTCCTTGACCTTTTTGATATAAAAACTCTTAGAAGAAAGATCTTTAGCACAGGGGTGGTATTTTCCCACCGCTGAACAGTCCAGAAATACAGCAAGAAAGCAGACAGACAGTACAGATGTTGAATGCAGGGATGGATGTAACCAGGACATCTTGTCTCCCTTTGCCTTGCCACTTTTCTTCTGTGGCGTGCTGCTTTTTCTCAACCCAGATCAGCAAATGCAGAGGAAAAAGAAAAAAAGGAAAAAAAAAGAAGGTAGTTTCTGCTATCCCCATTCTTTGTGAGTGGATTGAGGTTTTCTTTTCAGCAAAGGTGCTGATTCGTGGGTTAGTTTTCTGGGCTCATTCACCACATCTTTGTTGTTAATTAGGCAATGGTTTCCCTTGAGCAATGGAAGGAATGGGTAGCACCGTTACGATGTTTTCCACTAATACAGGATGTGGGATGAACTATTCTGCAATCAGCTTATCATAGTCAAATAACTGTATTTTGCCAGCAGGGCAGAGAGGCTTTCGATTTCATGAAAAATATTGCAGCAAGAATGGGAAATTGTGTGTGTTCTTTTTACTGCCATCATCAGACCTGGGGGAAAGAAGGAGGGGAGGGGATTTCCCCAGTATTTTTAACCCAATAATGGGGATTTCTTTTACACTGCACTGCTTAGACAGCTGACACAGTTGTGGCTCTGAGCTGACCTTAGAGACTAAAATCTACAGATGGACCGAGTAGCTCAGAATGTAATCTCTGGTTAAAACCTGAAATGGGGACATCACAGAAAAAATTACACCCTTGGTCAGTCAGGAGGAGATGTCTTCATCCGTTTCATCATCAGTCCCAACACTGACTGCCAGCGCTACTGTCCCTTGTACACAATCTCATATCCACCTCTTCAGGCATTTCTCCCTCCCATTAGAGGTTTTTAGGCTGGGACAAGGTAAATGGATCACGTGCTGGCTCAGCCTCAAAGCTGAGTGCTATTTTACACCAAGATGCAGAGCATGGAAGTGCTGGCTCAGCCTCCTAGTGGAAGCTGGGAAGGAAAGAACCAAGCTGCTGAGGTTCAGAATGGCACTTGAGCTGTGCGGGAAGGGGTTTCTGTGCCATTGGATCCAGTAATTGCAGAGAAACAGGTTCAGTTATGAAGGTGAGGCCTTGTTGGCCTGTATGGCTTCTACATCTCCATTAGCTGCGTAGCCACGGAACGGCTTTAATGTGCCTTTATCATTCTCTCTGTGTTGCTTTACTGTCCATTAGCCCAGTGCTTCATGCAAGATGTCCTCTCATTTCCAGTGGTCTGTTTCACTAACGCTTTACCTTGGGAACTAGTGCTACCCATGTAGCCATCCATGAATTTGCACCTTGTCCATCCTATCCCTCTTCTGGTTTTGCAGCCCTCTAGAGTAACTGTGTTCTCCAGCCTCATTAAAGAATAGTCCCAGTGGCTTTGATGTTGAAATCACGTTTGTGTCCTGAATAGATCCACCTAGCCTTCCCTGCAGAGGTGGCCTTTCCCACCTGTGGGCTTCCTCCAGGCAGATCCTAGAAAGAGCAATGGCTGTACTGGCTTTGGAGGTCCCTCAAAGAAAGGTAGGCACCAGTGTTTGGGACCTGGCTGGAGAAGGCTGTTCTGCATGGATCCTCATCCTGGGTTTGCCTTAGAGGTGGAGGCTGAGAGAAAGAAGAGGCAGCAGGTGCTGCTGGTGTACAGGGGTCAATCGGAGGGCCTGACGTCCCACTCCCCTCCATTACATCGACAGTATCACTGTCATGCACATCTGGTGGGTCGGAAAAGTGAGCATCCAGCTGGCACAGGGCCTCAGCAGGTTGTAAAGCTGCTTTGTCCATCACCTTCTCATCCTGTTTCAGAACTGGTGTTGGTGAGGTGCCTTCACTTGACTGGAGAGCTCCAGAAATAGCCATGGCCTTCTGGGCTTCACCTTCTGTGTCTTCCATGAAGGAGCTATTTTGGAAGCCCTGGGTCATCTTGATACAGTGAAGGAAGTTGTGGGACAACACGGGCATCTCCTCTGCCAGTGTGCAGAGGTCTGGGGAGGGGAGAGCATGGTAAGACTCGCCATCCTCGCTGCCACTGCCCTCCTGGGTGAAAGGCTCATAGGTGAAGTAGACCTGACAGGGCTCAATCTCAAAGGAGTTGGGAAGGTGGAAGAAGAAGTAGCCTTGGTTGGTGAAGCAGCTGGATACAGAGTGCCCACTGGTTTCTAAGGGAGGATCAGGAGTCAGGGTCCCCTTGGAAAGTAGAAACTGGGATTCCTGGTCATTCTTCTGCATCACCTCGAGCATGGAGATCTCTGGGGTTGTGCTGTTCACACAGTAGGAAGATGTGGAGAATGGGGAGGAGAGCCATTTCTGGTGGGGAAGAAACACAGGAGAGAGACTGTTACGCCCAAAGTGTAACACTCAGTGAGGAACCAAAGGTTTCTTCTCATGAGCGCCCATAGCAAACAAGGGACCTTTTCTCTGTCCAAGCAAGGGTTGCCAGAGGTGGTGGGGAGAGAAATTCACATTCACAGTGTCTCATCTGCAGGATTTTCAGAAAGAGTATATCTTTCTGTCACTTTGAAATCCAGAGCAGATATTGCAAGCCTATATTTTGAGATTTCTGGAGGGGGAAATGGAGGATGGAGGATTAAATTGAAAGGAAGGAAAAAAATTACAAGACCATAAGGTGAAATGAAGGTGGAAACATGAAAAGCAGTACTGAGATGCGTCTCATGCAATCTATTCCTAGGTGCTGAACCAGTTTCTGATACATCCACATGGCCCTATGCAGATTTCTTGTCTAAAGTGCTCTTCCAACCCCTAGATTTGCACTCACCTGAGTGACATCCTGGTGCAGCTTTATCCTTAAAAATAAACTGGTTTTGGTAGCATCCAACTTCATTGCTTTTATGGCCAGTAAAGCCGATTTTTCTAGTTCTTTCTGCACTGAGCAAGTGCCTTCAGTGCCTGCTGCACACCCCCAACTTCGCACTCTTCCCCTGTAGTTCAGGCTTTCTAAGGCTTTTTGCACTTAGGCTTTTCCAAAGCTTTGCTGTCTGCTGGACCTGCTGCAGTTTGTTTCCACCCTCCTTAAAGCGAGATGCCCCTTGGGATCACCTCCCACATCTTGCATCTGACGTTCCCTTTAACACTGCACATAATGGCAATTGTCTCCTTGCAGCTGCCCATACCCATGGAGAGATTAGGGGAAGGGCGAAAGTGGGGGTGGAGAAAGAAGAGAAAGAGACAACAAGAATATAGAAAACAGCTAAAGTGCCATCCAGTGTGATGGCAATTCACATTAGGAGAAGAGGGAAGGCTCGCAGCTGGGAGGAGGGGATCACAGCAGGAAACCTGGGGAAGAGCTGGGTAGCCTAGGGCAGGGACCGAAATGGGATGCAAGGGGATCTGAGAGGCCAAGCTTGCTCCCACAGGTGCCTTGTTTTCGCTCAGGTTCCCTGTTAGAGGAGCAGGGTGCTGAGGTTTGCATGGTTTGCCGTTTTCTCGCTTCTGTAATTAGAGATATGTCAGCCAAGTGTCAGGTTTTAGAAGGTCAGAAAATACAACTCAATGGGAGAACCCAGCATCTGGTGCTACAGGGACATGTGTCCTGTGTGCACATGTACATCCGACAACCGTGTGTCTGTCCTGGGCATGTGCAGCCAGACCCTCCTTTCCCTCATTTCTCCTTCATAACCTCTTGGTTCCATCCCCAGTCCCATACCTGAATGTCACCTCCGTGAACGGAAACAAGTGGGGGAAAGAACTTCTCGGGGTCTGGGATGTGAATCTTCAGGATCTTCTTAAACCTTGAGAGAAGAGAATGAGAAGGAGGAATGAAGCAGGGCCTGATCCTGACCGATCTGGCACTGTGGTGGGGGTAGGAGAGAGCATCGTAGCTCATGGGTTCTACCCTGGCACAGGGGAGAAGTAAAGTATGAACAAGCCTGAGGGCTTGCCTTGCTCTTGAGTGCCCTGAGTAGCTTGAGGGATGGGAGATAGGGAGATGAGGCAGTTAAACCTGGCACTGGAAAATACACTCCCCTCCAGCCTTTTCCCTGGGGAAGCACAACCAACCAACAGTTCACTGGTTTCTTTGGTTTCTTTCACCAGTGGCCTTGGCTGGCCACCTTAACCTCTCGACCTGCCCCCCTCCTCTCCTGCCCTGATGACAAGCTAGGAAGGTCTCCCTTGTTTCCAAGGTCCAGCTGCTGTGAGTTGCCCGCTCTTTGCTTCGCTGTTACCACAATGACTCAGAGGACCACATGGCCTGAATGGGACCATCACTTGCAAAGCTGTGCCACAACTGTCTGTCCTGTTAGCAGACATGGTATAGCTAGGACACACTGGCCGTGCAAGCCATCTGAGCATACCTTGTGTCCACCCAGTGGCCTCTACTTTACTGGAACCAAGGTGTTGTCATCCTGAGGCAGCATGAAGTGATCTAATCTGCTCCCCAGTCCCTCAGAGATGTCATCTGGTCCTGTCAGCTCTTTGCAGAAGCTCTGCAGCAATGCTCTGATGCCCTCCCGACCTCCAGAGGTAATGAGTGTACTCTCTGAAGCATCAGAATTTGCTAATTCTTGCATATAAATACCTTACATCACTGCAGATGCTATTTTTATTCATGCATGTCTAATGCTTCCTTGGATCTTACCTCAGCATTATCCTCTATCCAATTCCCCCAGGTTAATTATACTCCGTGGAGAAAGGAGGCCTTTTTATCTCTCTCTGTGCCACACAGCTAACACTTCCTCATCTTTGTGTTATGACTCAAGGTAGAACACAGTGACCAGTGACTTTCTCAGTATCCATCATCCATTCCTTCAATATGCTTCTCCTTCTTTCCTTACAGAGAAGCCATTCCAGCCTCTGTTGCCTCATCCCTGAGAACTTTCATGTTGACAGGTCACTCTCCGTATCATTGCACAGGGTGACCTTGTGAGACACTTTCAGTCCTGAATAAAAGCAGTGTCTGGGTAAAAACACTGACAAGGAGATCTTTAAAGCATCATGTAGGTGTTTACCAGCATGTGACGAGACACTTCAGGACTGCAGAGACCAGGGAGAGGAAGAATAGCACTCCTCAGGAGTTTTGCCTACAGACCAAATGTCACTGTGTCCTGTCTGAGCTCCTGCTGGAGTGTGTAAGTGAGTGAGAAGGCTTGCTTGGTCCTCTGTACTGAGGGAGTGCTCAACCCACTGACCTGCTTTTTAAGAGGCAATTTTGGTGCATCCCTGTCAGGGAACAGCACCCTAACCCACGGGAAACAGAAGTGCTGAGGCAGCTGTTTTTAATTCAGCCAGGGCATGGCACCCGGTCACAGGGGCGTCACACAATACAACGAAGGTGGTGAAACCAACACCAACTTGGGCGGTGATATATCGCCCCAGACAAATGTCAGCCTCAAAAGCTTGGGCTATAAATCATATTTTTAAGTCACTCTCTAACCCAAGTAATGCCAAGTGAAAAATAACCCTGGTTTTGAGAAGACACACAAGATACAGGAGAGGAACAGAGAGGAAAACTTGATTCTCATTTACCATTTCAGCGTCCGTAAGTTAATAAGGAAGGCAGTCCCAATGATCACAAAGATGCAAGTGCTCACTATAACAGCTGGCAACAGCGTCCGGGATGTTTCTGCAAGATGAGAGAGAAAAGGGAATTGCTGTGAAAATTTAGCCAGGATTCTAGAGGTAGGAGCTGTGTCTCTTCCACAGATGTTCAAGCTGATCAAAGTGGGCCTTTTATAAAATTATAATATTCAGGTCAGAGAAATGAGTTCTGCTGTTTTGTGTAGGATGCCTTTGAGCTGAGATGGGGTTTGGAGTCTACTTGGGATGGATTAACAGATATCTGTGCTGAACAGCTTGAACTCCCTGTTTGTAACAGCACCACAGCTGGGGGTTGCCACAGATGCCATAGTCTACTGGTTGAAGTGTCCATCAACCTGTCTGTTTTGTTGCAAAGGAAAGCAGGGAGTCCTAAAATCAGCGTAAGTGGGTTTGGGCACTTGAAACACCCTTATCAGTTGGTGGCGGAGGCAGAGTCATGGGGTTTATGGGTCTTTTGAGAAGGCAGGAGGACCAAGGATGGAGAAGGTTAGAGGTCAACAGGCTGGCTTCTTTCTTTAGAGTGGTGTAGGAAACCTTTAAGAGGCTAGAAAGGTCACAGCTTTCCACCACATGATTTTGGTACTTGGATTTTAGGGTTAGGAGAAAGAGACTGAGTTCCCGCATTGCCAGCGCTGCCAGCACTCCTCAGGCCTGTCTGGCATTATCTCAAACTTTTCTTAATCTGTCTCTTTCACAGGTCTCCCCAGTGCACTTTTGCTTGCTCTTGCTATTCTGGTGCCTGTCTCCTCTGCCTGCTACCCCCACCTCCCTCCATCTCTAGTACCCCTTGGTCTGGGCCTGCAGAGCTCCTCTGGAGTAGTTGTGAGGGAGCAGAGGAAAATAGAATAAGGAGGAGACATTTTTAGGACATTCTTTCTTTGCCTGTCCTTGAGATGCTACTCAGATCACTTTGTCTCCTCTGCCTCTGGTACCCTGGTTATCTTTGGGTCTTGGTTGCTATGACAACTGGTTGCGGCTGTATCCTATTCATTGACATCACACACTGTCAAAATTTGATCGCCACAGCAACACAGTGCCCTTTCTAAACATAGCTCCTCTGTTTATACCAGCACCAGGCACAACAGGGAGGGCTGAGCAGGGGCAGAGTGGAGGTGACATGAGAAGGAATAACCTCTATCTGCTTATTTTTTGGAAAAGAAATTACAGAGACCCCAGCCAATGACTCACCGAAGGGACTTGCTCAGGGCTCTGTCTTTCAAGGCTGGAGGTGTCCTCCATGCTGTGGTTCATGGTAATGACCGATACAAGCCTCAGCAGACCTTTTTGGAAGGGACTTACACTCATGTAAGTCTCTCTCATTCTCCGTGAGACTTTGCTTCCTAGGCTCAGGTCTCCTTTGGTTCAAGAGCTAAGTGCTCTGTTTCACTGGATTTCACTGACCAATGGCTCCAATGAAATGAGCCATTTTAGAAAGCCAGATTTATGTTCCTAGGTGACAGGAGCACCTGGGAAAATGCCAGTCCTGGCCACTGCTTCTGCAGGTCAGACATCTGGCCTTACTGCTCTGGGGAAGCAGTCCTTGATTTACATCTTGCGGATTTTGCCTGGCTTCTGGAAGTCAGAGGGGCTCTTTTGGGGTCAAGGAGTCTTTGCCATTAAGCCCTGTTGAGCCAGCCTGACCTAACAGATTAGGAGGGACAGATCATTTCCAACCTATCTATTGCTCTTTGATTAACACAGTCCTCCCTATCCATCTTCCTCTAGCTTCTCAGCCTGCTTGGCCCTTCTACTTTGTTTTCTCCGAGTCCCCTTATTCCCCTCCAAGCCAGAGTGTCTGATTCTGATCCTTACGGTCAGCATGTGTCCTCCACAGTATGGTCTCGCTCCAGTCGCTCCACGCGCCTTTGTAGGTACTTGAGGCACTCGGCCTTGCACGGACAGCTGCCTCATATTTCAAGTTGGGGGAGAGGCTCTCAAACAGCACCCACATCTGGTCCTGCATAATGGTGAAGTTCCTGGCCTCCTGCGAGTAGGGCAAAATTAGAGCATCATCAACAGCCTGGCTTACAGCCTCATGTACCCATCTCTTCCAAGGCCCTCAGCAAGGACCTGTCATAGATCCCTACACCTTGTGCACTGCTTGTTCACCCTGGAGGACAAGTCTTCTTCGTTTTGCTTTTTTCATCCCTTTCAGGTCTGTCCCAAGCTATCTGTATTTCTTTGTCACATCACTAAGTAAAATAGGATTCCCATCTGTCTCCATGTCATCACCAAACACTGGCAGCAGGTGACACAGATAAGAGGGTGGGAGGTGTCATCCGCTCTCCAGCTTCACCAAAACTGATTTCATCCTGAGGGGAGGCCCAGGAGCAAGTCCTGGGTGACGTAAAGACCAGGATTCGTATGGTGACAGGTCCCAGTGCCCCGCTCTGTACTCACCTCCCAAGACTGACTCGTGGTTCGGTACCGCACTTGGTATTCCCGCTCCCCATCCAAATAGTGAGAGGAAATATTCAGGCTCCATGTTAAGTTGTAGGTGTTTTCAGTTTTGCTAACCAGCTGAAGATTTCCAGGAGGCCTCAGCTTTACTGCAAAGAGGGAAGAAGTGGGGCTGATACCTCCACACTGCCTGTCCGTAACAGGGCTCTACCACAAACCCCACTGCAGCAGGGTTGGTGTCTTGGCTGTGCTCACAGACTCCAGCCAGCCACCGCCATGTGAGATGGTTAGTGAGTTCCCTTCTCTGTTCCTCCTTCTTCCCCCTGTCACTGAAGGCAAAAAGCCTGTTGTCTCTGGACTACATTAACGCCAGCCCCTCCTGTGAGCCTGCGAGAGTGGCGCATGCAGTCAGTGCAATCAGTCCCGCATGGCCACGCATCCGATCTTGTAAGTGTCATCCACAAGGCAATTGTACGGGCAGGAATGGAGCATGGCTGGGGTGACAGCTGCTTCCCAGCTGCTCTTTCAGAGAGCTACAGCCACAGAGGATGGAGTTACACAGACTGCTGGGCTGATCCTTCCCAACCCCTGACTCCAGCCATGCCTTTCTATGCCTCACCTTGCAGCAGCTCTATTGGACCTCTCCTTGAGCCAGGTACACTCACACGTCCAGAACAAAAATGACCCAAGCAGACGTTTTGCTGTTGGATTAGCGAGTTGAACGCTTTCAGCAAAGACCAATGCATGCCAAAGCTGGCTTAAAGGAGCGTGGAAGCCCATATCTGGTAAGAGGGGCAGGGGAAGGGCAGCAAGACTGTCCCTCCTTCTTGCAGCACACATTTTTCAGGAGGTCAGCTGAGCTGCCACTGCCTGTTTGACCCTGGAACTCCTAGTGCGAAGCATTCTCATTGAGCAGTGTCCCAGATACAGGACAGGGCAGGAAGTGACTGGCATGACACTGCACATTAGCGGTGCAAGTGGCATGAGTCTACATGGTTCATCTCTGCTAGTGGTAGTAAGGGACAAGGAAAAGAGACAAATCTAAAATCATCCATGGGTATTGCATAGGGGTGGATGGGGAAGAGGAATTAGCTATCATTTTGTGGGGAAGCTTCAGGGCACAAAACACATGAGTACTCACTATTTGCAAGTGGTCTGAAACCTTCTATTCGTGCAGGTATAGATGTATTCTCTCCAACCTGGCAATGGACAGACAGGGTAAGACGGTCTGCAGTGGTGAAGCATTGAGCCTGCATGGAAAATTTACCATTAGTGACACTGAAGCCTCATCCATAAGCATTCATATTTCTAAGCATTGCCTATGTATAAGAGGTTTAGGAATATTTGACAATAAATATGGAGGATATATGTGGCTTGAAAGGCATAAGCCTCAGTGGTCAGTGAGGAACCAAAGATTTACACTTGATGTAGTGGGATTTTTGTGTTCATTGGTGAGAAGGGCACAAAATATTGTGATATGATAGTTTGCTAGGATTGCTGTATGTGCTGATTAAGCAGGAAAAAATTACTTTCTATGAGTGACATTTATTGAGAAAAATATTTTTACTAAAACATTTTGTGTTCATTCCTAAGACTGAGACAACATTAATATCAAATATTACTCTTGAAATGCAATGATACTACAGGGCCACATGCATCATAGAGTATTAAATGAGCAACAGGGAAATTAACTTGATTAGAAACAAAAGATACTGGAGCTGTTTACCAACCGTGCAATTTGTCTTTGCACATGCTGTGCAAATGTAAGAAAGCTTGTCTGTCATTAGAACTGGTTGTGACTTTATCAATAAGGAGAATTAGCTCATATTTGGGTGGGTTTTGTGTGGGAAACACACGGACTACAGTAATTCTGTATATGACTGAAGGACATACATAATGAGTCTAAAAAAGGCTGATTTAAATAAAGAATAATAGGTAGCGGATTTGCATCAGCATTAGCTCCAGTGATGTGCTGCTGCATCTTGTATTTAACACATCTAACCAGGCTTCACAGTAGTTAATGATCTGGAAAATGGTGCTGACTTTTCAAGGAAAATGAGGTCAAGAGGTGACCTCAGAGATGGTGATGTCCATCCATCTTCAGAGGAAGGGATTAAGGCCAACCCCAGGTAACTGAGACATTGGACACCGCATGTGATCTGTCTGTCCTGCACCTCTTCTGCACGTGTCAGGACAGCACGGCTCAGCTCACAATGCAGGCAATCCTCCCAGCAAGGGAACCCACGAGGCATTATCGACAACACCCAACTTCAAGCCCAACCCCAGAACTGTAGTCAGGGATTAGGTTTGGGCTTTTTATACTGCTCCTGACTGTTGCACTGTTTATACACCCCAAATCCATCTACAAATCCTTTCCACCTTGTCATTAGCCAGGACATCCCAGATGAATTACTCACATTACTGTTTTTGCTGAAGATCTTGACACATCTTCTCAGTCCTGTCATGTGTTCTGCCTTGGGTAATTCACAGTGCTCCTTGATTTTTTCAGGTGAGAAAAAAATCCTGGGGTTGAAGCAAGAGAACTCCAGTGAGCTGGGGAGGCTTTTTTGTATTTAGTCAAACTTTATGTAACACTAAAGGCCTTTCAAAGCATTTTGCATCCTACCGCATTTTCTGAACAGGTTACAGCAAGGATGCAATCCCACTTTCTCTTCCCACTGCATCATTCAGACAAATTTTATGTGCTGGCACATGAAGAGTCAATGCATCCCAGTTATTTCAAGCCAAAGATAACAGTAGGTTTCCAGTTTCCAAGTCTTCACAAAACCCTCTTGCTACCTTCTCTGCTTCCTCTTGATATCAGAGGGCATGCAGAGCCCAAACACAACTGCTGCCCACAACTGTGCCAACGTGGCCCTGGAAGACAGGCGCCTTTTTCAGCCCCTCTAGGATTTACAGGTCTCCTTCAATCCACTGATAGTCCTGTTGGATCTCAGGTACTGAGTGAGATGTATCTTCTGAACCAGGTCACATCCCAGTCAACCAGGACCATACGTCACATTTGGCAGCGCAACACCACGACCTCTCTTCTGCTCTGACAAGGGTGGCTGGACAGCCTAAGCTTAGCTATGGCTGAGGGGGTGATAGGGTGGGAGAGCACCCGTGGGGTTGCAGCTGAGGGGGTATCAGACCGAGCTGCCTGCTCCGGCTGTAAAGTGAGACCAACCCTGGGACTTGCTGATGGTGGGGAGAGGTAGTGTCCTAGAGCCCTGATCAAGCAACGGCACAGTTCCAAATTCAGCCCAAATTCCAGCCTCAGTCTCTGTGATTCACACCCATGGAGCAACACAAATATTTTGGTTTTCTAGGTCCATACACCAGAATATATTTGCCCATCTCACCCCGCTGGAGGTGCCTCTATGACAGCCATGAGAAACCCACCCACTTCCAGAATCACACACAGCCTCTCCTGATGACAGGCACCCAGAGGGTCATGGGGTAGGCTGGTAATTTGGTAGGTCTCTTGGCTGAAGATGCTGTACTTGGGGACCACAGAGACTCAGCCAGCCCCCACTGCGGTACTGGCCAAACACCTACCCCTCTGCTGGGAGACGCGTGGGAGATGAAAACATAATGAACTGAGAGAGAGGAAAGAGCCAGCGGAGATAGGGGGAACAACATTTTCCTTCATTCATTGTTACTCAGGATGCAACAGCCCATCCTGGCAATGGGCAAATGGCCCCTGTATAACTTTAATTCCACCCTCCTCCACCCCCATCTCTATACATCCTCCTTTTTCATTGAAAATGCTTTTCAGTCCAGAGGGTGGCTACCAAGGAAGAGGGATTTTTTTTTGAAAATGAAGCACAGACAGAGCTATGGAGCTGGAAGATGGGCTGTTTGGGCAGTTTGGGACTGTCAGATGGCAAACACTGAGCTGCAAGTAGCATCTCAGCCCATGTGGGGTTAGAGACAGAATTCAGGGCAAAGACCCTCAACTCTGTGACTCCACTACACGTGGTCTTGGGGAAGGGGAGCCTACATTTTTGTTAAGAGGTAAACTTCCCAGGACACTTTTCATTCAAAGCATTGGCTTTCCTCAAGCCTCTCCAGTCACCTACCTGTCACAAAATGGTGACTTCGATAAAATCTCCATCTGGCAAGGTGCTTCAACCAGGTCCCTGTCTGGGTTCCAGTCACAGAAGAGAGCCGCCCGCGAGTCATACCAACAAGTTAGGCTGGAGGCACCTGCCAGCAGAGAAGAGAGGGACAGCAACATGGCTGAATTAGCAATGGTGTTTGGCATTAACCATCACCCCGGACAACTCTGCCCGATCCCAAACTTCAGATTGACTCCTCTGCTGGATAACTGCCTCCAAACAAGAAAGGCAGAGCCACTCACTTCTCTGTGTCTTTGGAGGTGGATGTGGTCATAAAAGACCTTTAATGATTGCAACCTCCTCTGGCTGTATGATACAACACGCGCATTGCACAGCATCACACCATGGGCACACACACTCCTCCGGCTGACCCCCCTCCCTGTTCGCCCAGCTGCCACGGGTGAAGGGGATCGCTTCTTACCTTGTGCCGAGTCCGATGCCAGTGAGAGAGGCGTGGGGCTGAACAGCCAGAGGTGACACAGAAGCAGCAAAGAGGGCTTCATTTGTACCGGTGACACACTGAAAGAGAGAAGACGCCCCCCCAACACAGCTCAGCAATGCAAATTAGGAAGATGTCATCTCGCAGGAGGCAACCACTGTCCTAGGGCAGGACTCAAAGCCAGTGCCAATATTCCCAGCTCAGAAACTCATACCCATTCCACACCAGAGTCTGTGCTTTTCCCTCAGCACCTCATTGTTTTCCTGCCTTGGGTGCTTTGCTCAGCACTGAAACCATTCGCGGTGCAGCACAGATAGGGTGTTGGCAGATAGGCTGTTCGCGGGAGTAATGCCTTCTGGAAATGTGTGTGTGAGTGCACAGCGGTCCGCGCGTGTTGTTTCAGGCTGCTTGCTGACTCAGGTAGAGAGTGCTGCCTTGGCTGCGCACAGCTTCTGCTTTGAAGAGCTGCTTTTTTTGGTAAGCCCTGGGGCTGAAATAACTAGGTGCTTGCTGAGTAAGAGGGGTCTCTGACGGCAACTGACAAAAGTTATTTGCAGAGCTCACGGCTTAGGAGGTAGATTTTGAATGGCTTGTTAGGGGCCTGGGGGAGGAAATCAGGGGAAAGAAGGAGTTTACCAGGTTCTGGAAAGTCAAGGCTTTACCATATCACAAAATATTACATAGTCACGCACAAACCATGCACCATCCTCGCCAAGTAGACCTTGCACTGCCTTGGAAGGAGCCATGCTTTTAGATGTAGCAGAAAATTTGGGCTTTGTAATTACGAAACCCTGCAGCACCCCTCATCCACGCGTGGCACCCAGGGAGACTCCTTGTCTTACAAAGCCTGTACAGCCATGCTCCGTATTAGACAGACTGGGATTACGGGCTTCTCATCCAAGCCTCCCTCTCTCCCCATCCACCTGGACACCCACCTGAGGTCTGCTTCTGCTTACAGGAGAAGGGACCACCCTCAGCTCTCAGCAAGCCTGGAGCCCAGGCAGAGCTGAGCAAAACGAGACAGAGTCCTGCTGGACCCTGCCGGGACTGCCAGGGGAGCAGGAAGAGAGGGTTTCTAAAGGGCTGGAATGAGGCAGCTGTTGGCCTGGCACGTTGTGATAAAAGATTAGGTTCAGAGGAAGAAAAACATGACGACAATGCATAAACAGAAAAAGGGGAGAGAAAGAGAGAGAAAGAAAGCAGGCGGCGTGGTTGTGAGATATAGGGTATGATTTGAGAGGACTGTGGAGAGACAGAGAGATAAATACGTGCTCAGCCCTCCCCAACGGCGAGATTCAGTTTGTCAGACTGAAACTCCTTCCAAGACGCTTTTCAGATCAGCCACCCCCGTGTGGGAGAGAGCTGGCATCGCCCCCTTTACCTTCCAGTGCCAGTCACCCGGTGGTCCAGATGAAGGGCTTCCTCAGGAACCGGGTCGTGGGGTTGGATGGAAGCAGATGCTGGACCTCAAGGAGTGAGGGGAACAGGGAGGGGGAAATGGAGAGGGATGGAGAGGGATACCCTAGTTCAGTGCATGTCCAGCCATCAGCCAGCGCTGCTGGAGCAAGAGAGGCGCCTCCAGCCCGGCAGTTCTGCTGCAGAGCCGTTCCTCTCGAACGCGTGTGGTCTCTCTCCGTCTTCTCCCTCTCACCTTTGCACAGGAAGCTGCCGCTTGCTTGCCTTGTCAGACTGAGACGAGGCCCTGAAGTATCGAAAAGGCTAGCAAGGCCAAGAATAAAAAGCCCCAAACCACGTCCTACTTCCTGCTGGTAAAGCAATAGGTGCAGAAACAAGGGTGGAGGGATCAGGTGTTAGCTTGCAGTGCTCAGATATACTGGGACCAGTTTGTAACTATTGCTGGGAAGCAAAAGAGAGAGAGAGAAGGACCTGTCCTTGGGACACCGGCAAGAGACCCATAGCTTCCTCTTTCAGACACCCAGACAGACCACTCATATAGCTCTCAGAGTCTGCACACGTGTACAGATCACTTTGAAACCAGAGATAGGTGTCAACCTGCAGTAGAAATACCATGGACCACTTTTTGAAAAAATAACTCAAGTCATTGACCTAAGCAACACCAGAACGAAACCAGCCTCCCCACCAGCGCCCCAGTTTCAGAGGATCCATCCTGGGTCAGAGCAAGAGTGGAACGAGGGCAGTGCTGAGTGTGAGCAAGCTTGAGGCACAGCCCTCATGCTTGCAGATGGTGTGACACCACAGGAACACCCATCCCGCAGCCTCCCTACCCAGCCAAGCACCCCAGTTGCTCCACGGAAGAAAGAATCACCCGCTCCAACCTGAGTCTCACAGCTAGTCCAGACAGGCAACGCTGCCCCGCAGTAGCTGCAGCGCCTTTTTCACACAGCTTGTCCATTCATCAGGCCAGAAGGCATTAAACAAAAAATATGTCCACCTTTTTCCAAAGCTTACTGTGCCCTCACCTTCGCAGATGGATGATCCCTCACAGGCTTTGCCAGGAAGATTTAGGTTTAGAAGATCTTTGCCGCAGGCAGACATCTCCCCCAGCACACATTGCCCTCACCTCCCAAGCCAAGAGGGATGCACAAACGCAAATCCACAGCCCGATGGTTGCCCGGTTCACAGACAGACATGCACATGCATACGTGTCCCTGCACACCTCTCTTTTTCCATACACAAGTACGATTCCCTGAAGTGCAGCACATCACGTTTCCCACCTGGTCTGAGCTGCACGAAGACGGCCAGATGATGAGAATCTCCTTCTATACACACAGTATTCACCACGGTCTGTGCTCCTCACCTTTCTCTCCTAGAGCAGCTCAAGGCCCAAGACCAGGTCCGGCAAGAAGGTTTTGCTGACCAAAAGTTGTCAGAGGCTAATCTCAAGTTTGAGGACTCTATAAACCTGGAGGATGGGGCCTCCTTTAACAGCAAAGGGATCTTGGTTTCAGGTGGTGGAAAAAGGATGTGGGAGGAGGATGAGTTTTTAGTCACAGGCAGTCCAGCCCAGAGATTGGATCTCAGAAGATATTAGACCTCAAAAAGAAATAGTGTTGGAGAAAAACCGATTTGAAGGCATGGGCGGCGACATTTTGAAGGAGGTTGCAATAGCGGATCCTCAGGGCCATTTCTGGGAGAGCATTGCAGTTAATCCAGCATCAAGCACCCACTTAGCCAGTGGTCTGGAGTGAAACACCTCTTACCTCACCACGCACGACACAGACTAGGAGTCTGAGAGGTGTCATTTGGATGCTCTTGCTGGTCATTTGAAAACTCCTGTTATGGCCACCCTTTGTGAGGGCAACGGGAATCTGACCGACCAGCCTCTGCTGAAGAGGAGCAGGGGAGAGGATGGGCTGCATCCTCTCCTGCCCTGGTAATTGCTGACTGTGGTAACTGCAACTTGGAGGCCCCCACCAGGGTGGGGCTGTCATGGCATGTATCATCAGAGCACAGCCCGCCTTTCCCAGGAACTCTTAAAACTAATGCAGCTTATTCTGGCGCAGAAGTCCTTGGCTGAAGGAATGAAGTGCTCTGTGAGTAACTTCTTGGTATCACCAGCTCTGCAGCTGCAATGGAGTATTCATGTTAACCATAATTTTTCCCGTTTGTCCTTCAGACTGAGAAATGTGCATCTTCCTTCAGACCAGAGATCACTTTGGGAAAGCAGGAGCACAAAGCACCCATTTTTTATCATTCAGCTTATCAAAGATAAAAAACCCCCACCGATTCCCTTTCTTTAAATTTTTTCCTTTTTTTTTTTTTTTTTTTTTTT